TGAACCGCTTTTCAGAGCGGCATGAAAACAAAAGCACCGTCTGCATTAACTTCTGCTGCCTCGAGCACAGGCCCAGGCTGAGCTTGGAGGGGACAGGAGAGCAGAAGCCCTCCACGCTGCACACCTCGCGAGAATCACTCGGCCAAAGGGGTCTCACTATCTACTTGCCATTCACAGCCAGACTAGGACTCTGCTTCTTTCATCACTGTGGCTCCCGAGGACCATCCCCAGAGTGCTTGTTCTCACATTAGGAGAGCACCCACCGAGCACATCACAGCAAGCTGCATACCTCGTGCTTCTCCCATGGGACTGAGAGCCACCAGAGGGTCAAAGCCCAAACTGGCAGTCTGTCTCCTAGCCTGGCCCCAGTCCTATCCCAGCTGCAATCCTATCCCACCCACTGCCGGTGCTCAGTAAGTGCTCAGGATGTTAGAATTCCTTAAGCTAAACTCATTTCATAGGAGACACCCTGGTAGTTAAGAATCTCAGGTTACAGAACCACTGGAGAGCAGGTATTTTGACTCCAAGCTGAGTGTGTTTTCTACACAATAGATACTAAGGATGTCAGGACACACTGGGTTTCTGAGTACCAATTCCTCCAGTAATCTGCCTGACTCTTTCTCCTGAAAAATGAGTAGAGGGTAGGGGTGGGATCCTACAGGAGAACTGATTTTACTTACTGATGTGGTCAATGGCTCCAGCACAGAACTTGCCATAGAACTTCTTGGCACCCAGGCCTCGCAGGTCGTGTATGGTGAATGGCCAGAGATGCAAGACATTGTTGCGGGAGAAGGCATCTCGTTTCTCAATCACGACCACCTTAGCTCCCAATAAGGATAAATCGATGGCTGTGCGGAGACCGCAGGGGCCAGCTCCAATGATGAGACACTGAAAAACACAGCTGCTTTCAGGGCGAAGGCAGCACCTCTTGAGCGCATAACCATCATTCCCTAAAGCCCCCCAGTAGGGCCATTCTCCCCATGACCAAGAAACCTTCAAACCCATCCGGGTCAGAGCGGAGTGCCTGCAATGGCTTCAGAGAAAAGCTGTGGGCGCTCTGGATGGAGGAGACTTAACTGTAAGTGCTGGACAGAAACTCACACGTGGCACCTGCAGATCACATTTACCTGGGTCCTCACATCAACACACAATGTGAAGATCACATCTCATCTCTCAACAACAGGAGAAAACCTTCTGGAAGGTTTCTAAGTCAAGCAGGTCTCTGTCCACAGAGGCACAGATCATTAAATACACAGCCAAGCAATCTCAGGGTCTTGGAATGGACCTACCACTTGAGAGACTCCAAGGTGGTAATTTTCAAGAGCCAAAGTTTTATGTGCAGAAAAGAGTTCTAAGATCACCAACTTTAGACTGAAAATCCAGGGAAATGATCTTGAAGATCCGTATTCTAGAGAAGTACTCAGGGTGAGACCACACACTTATCTTAACTAGTTGGCATGCACGTTCAGAAGAAAGACGTGCACTGTTTCTGGCTTCCAATTCCTTTTATTCTTTTCTCTTTTTCCATATGAATTTATTTATTTATTTATATTTTTATATTTGGCTGTGTTTGGGTCTTCGTTGCTGTGCACGGGCTTTCTCTAGTTGCAGCGAGCGGGGGCTACTCTTCGTTGTGGTGCGCGGGCTTCTCATTGCGGTGGCTTCTCTAGTTGCGGAGCACGGGCTCAGGGTGCGTGGGCTTCAGTAGTTGTGGCTCGCGGGCTCTAGAGCGCAGGCTCAGTAGTTGTGGCGCACAGGCTTAGTTGCTCTGCGGCATGTAGGATCTTCCCGGACCAGTGCTCAAACCCATGTCCCTTGCACTGGCAGGGAGATTCTTAACCCCTGTACCACCAGGGAAGCCCCTCCAATGCAGCCAAAAATAAATAAATAAATAAATAAATAAATATGTATGTATATGTGTGTGTGTGTGTGTATATATATAATATGTATATGTGTGTGTATATATATATATAATATGTATATGTGTGTGTGTGTGTGTGTGTGTGTGTATATATATATATATATATATATACACACACACACACATAAAAAAAACTCTAGAGTGCACTTGAATTACTTGCATTTTGTGGATGAATATCTACCCAAATGCAAACCAACACAGGGCAAGTTAAGGCTCTTGAAAGGACAGTAACAACAGTCGCAAAGTCATCTGCAACTTCACTTCCCTGCTAGCTGTTCCAAACTTCTCACAGAAAGTGCTCTTACTAAGCAGGAGAGCAGGAACGTATTACTTTCTCCTCTCCCCACGCCTCCCCTGCACAGGTGACTGGGCATCTCGGGTCTTTGCCCAGGCCCACCCGTTTCAAGGAAACTCTATTTCTCTAGATTGTGAAGAAAGCAAAAGAAATACTTTGGTTTACAAAGCCCTTGCTTATCAAGATAGACCACTGGAAAATGGATGAAAAGAGGTCTGAAGCCTGTGGGAAAAAAATCCCCAAGCTGGCAAATACTCTACACCCTACCAGAGGCTGAGTCTGGAACAATGACTTTGCCAAGCGCCAGGCTGCCATGGTCGGACAGGACACTGACAGGGCCCGGCTACCACTTTGCTCAGAGGCCTGCATCCTCCTAACAGTCTGAGATTCAACTAGAGCCTCAGTAAAATCAAACAACTCCTACGGTGTTTGACTGCAGGGTTGTTCTCAGTAGCTGAAACCCCGAATGTTCCTATGAGAATCCATGGGATAAGAATGGGGCACACAGAACAGTCGAATGATCCAACACAGGTAGCGGATCCACAGAGTTCTGCCGCAGTGTGAGCTTGACGGCCTCCCTAGGCTGTGGCCTAAGCAGCCTTGTCCTCACCAGGCCACCTCCACCCAATGCTCTCTCCTTCTCCAGCTGAGCGCTTGGGTCAGTGCCCAGGGCCTGGGCGGCCGCCCCTACCTTAGTGTTGGTGCACGCCTTTCCCTTCTTGTAGTCTTTGTGGCTGCCCCGCTTGTCCAGCTTTGCCCAGAGGGCCTTGGCTCTCCAGTAGTTGAGCTTAGACTTGAGCTTGTGGTAAAAGGAGCGGTGGTCCTTAGGCTTCAGTTCCAGGTGGTCGCAGAGCTCTTGGAAGGCCCTGAGTGTCCCCTTGCAAGTGGTGGCCTGCACAAACCGGTCAAAGAGGATGTGAGCCCGATTCGTCGCCTCGTTCTTACGCTCCTCCATGTCTCCCCACTCTCAGGCCCCTGACAAATGGGGTGGGGGGGGGCTGTCGATCCACCTGACGCCGTCACGTTAATCTAATAAAGAAAGAGAGGAACGGTTAGCAAATCCAAAGCTGCATCTAGAAACGTTTTCTAGGAGACACAGCTTTTCAGAGTGCACTTCCTAAGTGTTGCGGGCATTCATTACACAAGCGTGATAAGCTGCTGGTCCTCTAGACTCCAGGCACCGTCTGAGACACCGCGGACAGAGAAATGAGGAAGACTGCGGTTGCTTTCAAGGATCTTACAGTTTAGTGGGTGAACAGAAGCTTAGATGTGCCCTACTAAGTGTCAGAGAGAGAGAGGCTCAAGGGACGTGGCAACGCAGGGGAAGAGCGCCTACGTCATGGGGGAGGGATCCTCACCCAGGATGAGCCTCTGAGGGATGACATCTGAGGGTTTCAGGATGAATTAGTGTCAGCCAGGCAGGGAGGAAGCACAGGACGTGGAAAAGGAAGTAAACTGGAAGGCTTGCAAGGGACTCTTACAGACGAAAGGGTCAGGGATGTTTCCCGTGGAGTGAGTGGTGAGCCCAGGCCGAGGGATTACAAACAGAAGCCCTCATCTGTGGTGGGTACCCTGTTACAGCTGAGCTGCCTTAGTGGAGGGGCTCACTAGGCAGTCGGCTGAGTCGGCTCCGGGGCACAGCACACAGGTGGTAGCTGACCTGTGAAGGCTGGTCAGATCACACGGGGAAGCCCTGGGCTCCAGGGGAGATCTGGACTCAGCGAGGGAGGAGCTGGCAGCCAAGGACGAGCGCGCTCTGAAGAGCTTCTGAGGCACAGCGAAGAGGTCTGAGAGCAGAGCCAAGGTCGGCGTTTAGGGACCGACGTCCTGCCATGCGGACGGCACGTGGCAGGTAGGATTTTACAGCCATTCCATTTTGCCCACAAATAAACCTGACAGCAGTAATGATGCCGTCTATACCTCCCACTTATCAAAAACCTCCAGCACCTACCAGCCTACGCTTGCTGGGAGAAGCTTCAAGAAGGGAGGGGCCCCGCATGCACTCCTTCACCCACGCCCTGCCTTGGGTCTGTACCACACTTACTTGTCATCACTGCGGAGAACTGTTGCTGGGGGCGGGAGGCAAAGGGCCAGAGGCTGGAACAGGGTGAGCAGAGAAGCAGGGCAGGGCAACAAGACGAGCAGCACCTTGGCCCTGGGTCCACAGTCGCCAGGCCCGGGCTGCCCCACTCGGCCTCAGTTCTCCCTCGCGTGAGACGAGGTGAGAGTGGATGCCCTGACTTCAGTGTGGGAAAACCCTCTAGCCATAGGACTCAGGCCCAGGGCTCCAGGCGACTTCCCGCCAGGTGACAAACAGGGCTGAGCCCGAGCTCTGCTTTAAAGAGGACCTGCTCGTGGAGATGGCAGGGGATGGAGGAAGGGAGCTGCTGACCGACTGTGTTGGGGGGAGGAGGGGTGGAAGTGAGGAGTGACCCGCTATTTAGTGAACCAGCCCAGGGCAAAGGGAGCCACCAAACTATGTGCTGATGACACCCTCTGCTTGCCTCCCCAGGCCTGGAAGAGCCCCACGTCCTGTCCTGAAGCTCTTACAGGCGGGAGAAGCCCCCTTGGGAAGCAGGAATAAGATTCTGCTTCTTTCCACACTTCACCATGTACTATAAGGTTGAATCGAACCAACTGGAGGTGTGGGTGGTTTCCTGAGAGAAGGCAATTCCTAAATAAGAGGAACTGCCACCTTCCTCTTGTGTTTTCTGTGTTGTTCTGCGGAGGCCGAGGTGAAGATGGTAATTCTTTACCTGAAACACACTGACTTGGCTTCTCATCTCAAATACATCACTAACTCAACAACCCCTCCTATGCACACTGCTAAACAACAGCTTGTCCCAACAGCCATGTGGCCAAGAGTCCAACGAGAAATGGAATTAACTGGAACTAACCTTCAGTTTCCCCTAAATAAAAGTTTATTCTAGGCAGCGCCAAGCAGCGAGAGAAAGATTTTAAAGTTTCTAAAAGGAGCCCATTCTTCTTCTTTCAAGTCAATGCTCATCTTAGAAACTGCAGGTAGAGTCAAAAGACGGCTGGCTTTTAAGTGGCAGAGAAAATCAGACATGCTCATCCAGAAGCAGAAGAAAGGGTAATAACCCACGACTAGAAACAAGGGTCCCGGGTGTTGCCCGTCGGGGCCTCTGCAGCTTTATTTGCTTTGCTCGTGCGGCCACCGCTCCTGCCCGTGCATGCCCCACCTGTGTGCACAGCTCTCTCGAACCCCACCAGAGTCACAGTGTTTAGAAAGCTCTGAACACACTGGCTCTGATCTCTCTGCCTCTTGTCAAGAAAGAAAATGATTCTTCTTTGTTCCTGAACAGCAGCAGCCACCTTCCACTCCCTGCCAGGATCTGGAGCCCGAGGTACCACCTGTGTTCTAGCTGATGCCGACACGCTCAAGATCCTGCGACATGCATTTCTAAAGGCCTTTCCCCTGTCTCACCCCACCCTAAAAGAGTCTCGGCATTTATTTTCAAAGAAGAATTCTGATGTGTGGGCTAACACCCCCTTGGTTGGCTGTAGCCCACCCTGTTTGAAACAAACATTTACTTCCAAAGAGCTGAGCACTTGCTCAAATCAAACCTCACCACAGATGAACACCTTCATTAGTAACTGGCCCCCAATCCTTCTGCTGATGCAAAACACTTTCAAATGAACAGGTTCCAGCCACTCCCGGACAGCTGCAGAGAGCCTGCTTGCAAGAGGCAGACAGGGAGTAAGTGCCCAGTGTAAGAGAGTTCCACCTGCAGGTCACTAATGACAACAGATAAGTAGAGGGAAGCTGGTTCCTGGAACAATGTGACAGGCACCTGAGGTAAGACTACACAAGACCAATTCCCTCGGGCTGCCTCAGCTTTCCCCCTCTGTGAGCCAAGTGGCCGTAGCAGAAGACACTCCAGCGTCTGTTCTGCAGCTCTGCTGGCGGGACAGCCTCGTGCAGCCTGGGGACTACCCGGCACTGGGTTCACGCTAAGAGCAGCTGGGCAGACGGCAGAAGGACCACTCCTGCCATCGCTCTCATGCCTTCATTCCTGAACGTCAAACCCAGGTCGTGCTCCTCCGGGCCTCTCCTGGACCACCCCCACGTGCTGTACGTCCCACTAGCCAGGGAAAATCAACAGTCATAAGCGCAGGAGCCTACATACCAGGAAACCTGGCCAGAAGGTGCCAGAAATCCTGAGGACTGAAAAGTCAAGGTGTGGAAGGAAGAGACGAGGGAAGTGAGGAGCCTGAGGAGAGACGAGGAAGAGGTGGGGCCCGCTCTCCACACGTCAGTGCGATCTCTGCCACCAGCAATGGCCTGCGAGTTCCGTCCCACAGCAGCTGACTGCTGACTCAGAAGCACACTCCTTGGCTGTGGAGGAAAGTGCTAGAGAGACAGCCTATGAAGTGCATGCAGGAACAGAGTTTATGTTTCTATTTATAAGAGTAAAAGGTTGTCACTGACTCATGGCTGGTTTGAGAACACTCAGTCTCTAGCTCTTAGAATAGATGGGTGGTTATTTGAGGGGTGGGGGAGACTTATCTTTAAAAATAGAAAAAGGAAAGAATCAAAACAACAAAATCAGAATTATACATCAAGAGTAAGAAATCAGAGCCAAGTTTGGTTAATTTTCTCCCTAGCCACTGCACCACTAATATACTGGCACATGTGCAAATCTGACTCTTACAAAGGATCTATGAAATGCTCCTTTCCTAGCCCATGCAGTCAGTCAGAGGCGTGACTTGTCTAAACAGACCTTAGAAGGAAGGCAGATAGGAAGACATGTTTTACAATGTCATTAGGAGAAAAATTAGATGACAAATGCACTTCAGATTACAGAGATTCCTTCATGTTTTACAGAAACAAGGACCAAAGTAGCCAAATGCCTTGAGTTCTTGGTCAGTCTTTCTGCAAACGGGCCGCTCCGGCCACCACCGTCTGTGGATGGGGACACTGAGTCCCTGGACTGGGGCATCTGACTGAATCAGACTGCCTGGGAATGAAACGCCTCGCCGCCCCAACTGCTTCCCAGCTCCTGTCCCAAAGGCCTCTCATCTCTCATGGCCCCAAGATAAGGTTCTCTAGGTCCCAAGGAAGCAAGCTCAAAATACAAGAAGGAAAGCGTCCTTCTCACAATTCTTGTTGCTGCCTTTGTTCCATCCTCAGTTCTTCTCTGACTTTCCATCCTATTTAGCATCAGATGGACACTCGGCGGGATGCTGAGGACATCAGAAACCAGCCCCCGTGCCCCTCCCCATTCCATGGATCTGCTCTTTAGTCCCACGCACCGGTCCTCATCCACGCCTGCGATTCCGCAAGTGCACGACTGGAATGGCTCTCTTCTCCACCACCTCAAGGTTTCAACAGGGCAGGGACCGGGTCTCTGCAGCTTCAGCCTGGCCTGCAGTAGGAACACTCTAGTTTCTGTGGAGTTGACAAGGGAAAAGAATCCCTAGTGGGAGTCTGTCTGGAGGTCCCTGCGTGGCTGGGGGAGGTGAAGGAGAAGCGGGGGGATGTTACAGAGGAGAGTTCTACCTAATGTGCCACCAAAGCGGGGTGTCTAAGAACACAGTCAGCCTGCGCAGGGAAGAGCAGCTAGCAAGAATGCAGTGCTTTTGTTATGGATTCTCGCACTGCCTTATTCTAGGAGGTGGAACGGCCCTCTCCAGAGGGGTCTGAGAAGAGCCTGGACCATGACCTCTGGGTTCTCTTCCAAGTCTCCAATTCTGAAAGACGCGAACCCCCTAATGTTGTATCTTCTCAAAACTTTTTATTTTACTTTCTTTGATAGCAACCTATTTCTTCAGGAAAAACACCTACACAATTGACCAAGGAGTCAGAAATGGCCTCTGCCCATAGAGAACAGACTTGTGGTTGCCGAGGGGGAGAGGGAAAGGGATGGACTGGGAGTTTGGGGTTGGTAGATGCAAACTATTACATTTAGAATGGATAAACAACAAGGTCCTATACTTGTTGTACAGGGAACTATACTCAATATCCTGTGATAAACCATAATGGAAAAGAACATAAAAAAAGAGTGT